GCAGAGACAATCACTGCTTAAGCTGGCCATACGTTATAACATTTTCTTAATCAATGTCCTTTCGATTTACCTTCAACTATGTAGTGCAAAGGCCTGCCTGATTGCATACAATTGAAAGTGTTTAGGTTTGACCTAATTTATGGTTTTGGTAAATCTAAATGAAAATTGTATAATGTATTGACAGCCATACATTCTTCATCAGATAGCTGAATGCACCAAACACTTGGAATCCACAAATGTCCTTAGTTCATGTAGAATACTGAGGCAATACAATAAGAAGTAGACTTGATATAGAAATGTTTAAGGTAATCAAAAGGAATATTAGCTTTTCTTAGCCTCCGTGTGTGCCTTGTAGGGGAAGACACAGAGTGTCACACAAAATGAGGAAATTATATCTTAGAAAGGGAAAGAAAATACAATGGAAATTTTAGGGTGTAGTGTTTTTTTTTTTTTTCTCACAACTTTTGAAAGGTACTAATAAAACCACTTTTTCTTAATGTAAATCTCCATTACAAAATTAAATGTTATGTCAGTATTGCTGTCTTAGTGATGGTATGGTATGCAAGTGTACCCCAGAAGCCAAAAAGCAATGGTGTAAAAAAATTATTTGTTGGTTACCCTGATAACTGCTAACCCATATTTTAGATGTGCCTGGTGAAGACAGGCTAATTTTTTCCTGTTCCTGTATATTCCTACATTGTTTGGCTTTCAGCTATGTTCCTGCCCATATGGCCATAACAAGATGTTATATTGTTGAAATTGCACTATGAAATATTTTGTTTAGCTATTATGTAGAATCCATCGGCAGAGCATGTCATTTTTTTAGCCTTGGTAATGGCAGCTGGTTTTCATGGAATGTGATTCAGCTTGCTCAAAAGCTGTCAGGGCTCCCGGGTATGACCAGAGGTGTGTGACTGACGCAGGGAAACGCAGACTTCAGATATGTTATAAACAATATAATTTATTAACACTAACAATACAAACATAAACGCAGTGCAATACTAAAACATAACACAGTGCACACAAACCAAACCAACCACCCACAGATGACAGTACATACAATGCAAGCGTCGTCAGGCAGGCCGGGTCAATATCAATCGGGCAGGTAGGTACAGGGGGAGCAAGCGGAGAATGGTCGGGGTCACAAGCCAAGTTCAGCAGGTAGCGGGCAGCGTGGTACAGAGGGTCAGGCAGAGGAGAATGGTCAGACAAGCCAGGGATCAGAGCAGGGTCAGCAACGAATCGGACAGAACAGGAACAGGGAGCAGGAACAGGATACAGGGCCCAGGAGAAACACACACCAAGGCAGAGTCTGCAGGTCTGGCCATCCCTTAAATACACCAGTATAAGCAGTTTCAGGTGTTTAGCTGGCTGCAAGGTTGAGTCTCTGATTGCTGGGAGCACCCGCTGGCCAGCCCCGGTACTGCAGCCCATAAGGCAGGCGAGTCCCACCATTGGTGGCCAGTCCATTCCTGACAAAAGCATGCAAAACTGAAGTGTTATTGGCCTTCAATAGTAATTTTCTGTTAAACTGAACAAAGTCTGTGTCTTCAACGAAGAATTCTGTTAATGCAATGAAATGTGGTGAGCAGGCTATCATGTTTAGGCTTCGCAGCACAGGAACCCACTTTATTGGGACCCTTGGCAACACAGCTCTGGCCTGGCCTGGCTTAAGCAACTACTCTCCCTTTTCCCATGAACACATCAATTCAAATATCATAATGGTATGTTTTAATATTTTCTTAGGAAAAATCTTAATTGGTTACAATTTGTATATCTCCAAGTGGAGTAGGCAAATCCATGATTCATAGATCATCAGGCCAAGAGAAGTTTTACTATGCCACTGATGTAACTATCAAAAACAGTCAAAGGTGTTTTTACAAAAGTTGAAGCAGCTGACAAAATGAGCACTATCAGAACAAATCTGCCCATAAAAGCCCCATGTATGCATGAAAGTCCAAGCCCATATGCACCAATTAAATATTTAACTTATGTTGTTGAAAACCTAACTTAATAAAATTTCGGAATTCCTTCAGTTTTTCTAGCAGCCACATGATGCATTAAGAGAGCAGCTATAGTAAGGAATTCTGAAACCAGTAGCACAGCACCACTATATAAATGTGAAACAAGTCATTGGAAAGATTCTGGGGTTTCATGAGAGCATGTTCGTTTTGTGTTATACATGTCTGTGGGATGAGTGTTCTTTTGGTGATCAAAAGGGCAGTGTGGAAAATGTGTTCTGATTTTGACAGTGTGCGTGATGGCTGTCCTTGTTTTCTGTGCACTATGGAAGTTGGGCTCATAACTTTAATATCGTTCAGACTTCCCCTTAGAAACAGATGTAAACTTTTATGTTGGAGGGTAGACAGGTAATGAAAAGCTATATTTTTTACTAGTTTCTTTTTTAATTCAATGCACCAAAATGTATGGGGTTCCATAAACGGCTCAGAAATGTGTGTATGTGTTAAAGTAGTTCTAAATGATCAAGGTTTTTTACCTCCATGCATTCTGTGCATGAAGGTAAAAAACCTTCTGTGTGCAGCATCACCCCCAGCCCCCGTAATACTCACCTAAGCCTCCTCTCGATCCAGCGATGTTCAGTGGAGTCTCGACTAGCCTGGAACTCCCTCTTCTCATTGGCTGAGACAATTGGCTCCCACTGCTGTCAATCACAGCCAGTGAGCCAATGAGAAGAGCAAGGAGGCAGGTCTGAAACGCGGCTCCGTGTGTGAATGGACACACGGAGCTGTGGGTGCCCCCCATAGCAAGCTGCTTTCTGTGTGGGCACCTAACAGATGGGAAGAGCCTGCGGGACCCGAGAAGAGGAGGATCCAGGCTGCAAAACCACTGCACACAGCAGTTAAGTAAAGACATGTTTGTTTTTTTTTTCTTAAAAAAAAGATGAATCACTTTAAGTCTGTGTCAAGAACATTCCTTGTTCCCAGATTCATACCCATCAGGAACCAGACTTGGGCTCCATGCACACTAGCACTCCTAGAAGCTGTTAGCATTTTTTTCTGCTCCTAGAAGCTAATCGTGTTATCCTATGTGTCCATGCACACTATTTTAGGCTAGTAGCGTTTTTCAAGCTTCAGCATTTAGGAGCAGAAAAATTTTTTTTTTCTGTAGAGTTTTTTTTTCAAAGTGTTTTTCCAGCAGAAAAAAATGCTAGTAAAATGCTCCTAGCTGTGTGTTTTTTTTTTTTTTTTTTTCTTTCTACTTGTAAAAATGCTAACACTTCTAAACGCTCCTAAAAACACTATTACCAGCAATTTTTACCCAACCTTTATTCCAGCAGGGTTTTTTTTTAATGCCTTAAAAAAAAAATGAAAAAAAAAACACTCTTGTGTATGGAGCCTTAAACCTGGAAGAATCCTTATTTTTATATATTGGTTTTGTTATCTAAAAATATTTTCTGTCCAGCTGATATGTTTCAGTTCTGAAAATAAACTGCTGAACCTGTTCTGTATACAGTGTGTAGTTTTTATTAAAATCACTGAACCTTCCTTTTTTTTTTTTTTTTTTTTTTATAGATAATCCTTTAAAAAGAGAGATTTTTGAAACCAACTTAAAAATGTTTGCAGCAATCTCTAGTTTACAGGTAAGGCCTCGTATATCATATTGAGTTATATTATATACTGATATGTTATATCAATATGTCATTTTAGTAACCTATTTTATTGGAGGGAACACCTTGCGACTTCACAGCCAAGTGCTAATTGCACATGCACGAGCCGTACTGCGCATTGTGAATGGTCTCGCAGTCTTCTGCGACCTGTCACGTGTCCCAGAAGACTGCGTGTACGGTGGGGGGGGGGGGGGGGGGGTGGAGAAGAACTTCTGCTTCCATTTGCCTAGGTGGTCATAGTGCAAGTGTGAATGGGTTCCTGTCAAAATCAGGTACCCCCTCCCCAAAAGTGCCATTTCTTTACCAGGAGCAGGGGAGGAGGCCTTAGGCTACGTTCACACTAGCCTTGTGTGCATGCGGCAGAGAGGCGTTTGGGAAGCGTTTTTACCGCTTCCCAAACGCCTCTGCCAACTCTGCACATTACAGCACATGGTGCTGTTCTAACAGGAGCGTTTGCGTCGCGTCGCGTTGCGTCGCGGCAAAACGGACGCCTCTGGTCGAGTCAGGAGGCTTTGAAGCCTCCTATTCTCGTCTATGGTGCCGCTCCGCAAACGCCCGGCCGGCGTTTGTGGTGCGTTTGCGGGGCGTTTGCGGAGCGGTAACACCACTCAAATGCATTATAGGCGTTTGTGGGGCGTTATTAACGCTCGGCAAACGCCTAGCAACCACTGCTAAACCGCGCATGCGGCGTTTGCGGAGCGTTTGCCGAGCGTTAAAAACGCTCCGCAAACACCGGACCAACACTTGCCAAACGCTATAGGGGCGTTTGGCAAGCGTTGGCAAAACAGCCTAGTGTGAACGAGCCCTTAAAGTGGAACATCATCCCTTTTGGGTAGAGCTCCGCTTTAAGTGGATGGACAGTGGAATAATATAACGTCACAATATTTAAGTTGATTAAGTGACAATAATAGTACTTTATTAGAGATAACTTTTTTTTTTATTAATGTTGCATCATAAAATATGTAGCCATTTAAGAACATGTTAATTTTCCTATTACAGGAAGACTTTGACATATTCCTTTCGCTGGAGGAGTATGAAAACCGATCTTTTCTGTCTCATCTTAGAGAAGAACATATTATTGCTTATGAGACTACAAGGTCCATGCCTAAATCTGAAAAGACAACAGTACAGATTCCAAATACTAATCATTCCAAAGTGCCATCAACAGAGTCCAGGTTATACAGACTTGCCTTGCTTCTACAAGTTACAGAACAAGAGCTAGGTGCAGAACTAGCCTTGAGAGCCCTGTCAGCTGGAAAGGTCGAAAAGTCATTGCAGATCTGCAGGTACAGTGGAAAGAGATTATATTTTACACTTCTTGCTGCCTTCCAGAACAAAGATGTTGCATTTACTCCATTGTTTTCTCTTTTTTAGGGATCTGTATGAACATCATTGTACTTCTCAGACTGGAAAGTTACTTTTCCTTGTTTCCAACAAATTGTGCCAAATGTTGGAAGCAAATACGCCAATGGTAATACCGCCTGGAATGAATTTGCCTGCTGTCACTTATCAGTTATCTTGTCAAGCAGCCACGATAAGCAGTCCAGGTAAAGACTAGGCGTGCTCTGTCATTTTACGTGGCCTACCACGTCATGGCTGAGTTGCTGTTATTCCCAGTTGCTTCCACTTTGTTATAGTACCACTAACCGGTGACTGGAATATTTAGTAACAAGGAAATTTCACGGATAGACTTATTGCACAAGTGGCAACCTATCATGGCACCGTGCTTGAATTCACTGAGCTACTGAGAGCGACCCATTCTTTCACAAATGTTTGTAGAAGCATGCGTGCCTAGGTGCTTGATTTTATACACCTGTGCCAATGGAGTTGATTGCAACACCTGAATTCAGTGATTTGTAGGGGTTTCCCAATACGTTTGGCAATATAGTGTATTAACTGAATATGAAAAAGTTTAATAGTTCTCGGTTAATAATGAAAACAAGTATCAAGTATCAGTTTTATAAATTATTACCAAGTTTCATAAACAGGAAAATTTCTTTTTGACCACTGTTAATTGTGGCATCAATTTTGATTTAGTTTTAGTCATATTCTTTTGACTAAAATGCCATTTTAGTTTGTTGTATTTTAGTAATCTGAATTGAAACTACATTTTTTTTTCATTTAGTTTGTCACTGAACGCATGCAGCTGACGCAAATATTTTCGTTGACAAAATTGACACTGCATGAAGCGACGTTTATTGTATGCTGTTATTGTACTGAATTTAATGCATTTCAGATTCACTTATAATAGGAGGAAAATATAAAATAAGAGTTTCACTTACATTGCATGACACAACCAGCCTAAACATCACATGATTAATTTATTTTTTACTTTACAGACCTCTTGCTGGATGCTTTGGAGCTTTGTAAATATACACATATTGCTTTGGAACTTTACAGACAATGTCATATTGAAGATTATGGATTTATTACCAAAGTGAGTTACTGTGCATTTCCTTATAGTGTATTAACTCTTGTATGTGTTAATATATATTTTTTTTTAAAGAAGCCTCATCAGTTTTATAAGTAAACCTCTTTCACTGTACGGTAAAAGTTCCTATTGTGCCCCTCTACCTTAGGCTGGCCATACACTATACAATTTTCTGTACAATTTCTGCTCAATTTTCTTTAGATTTACCTTCAACTATGTAGTGCTAGAGCCTACCTAATTGGATACAATTGAAAGTGTTATTAGTTTTGACCTCCTATTATATGGTTTATTGTCAATCTAAACCAAAAATCTCAAGAAAATTGTATAATGTATGACCAGCCTTACCATCGACACAGATTTGTTGTATGAAAGCCAGCCTGTTAATCCGCATGACTGATTTTAAATTTAGGTCCGGGAATCTGAGATACCTCAATGATCTTCTTGTTTCTAAATTTTAAATTCTAAATTTTAAGCACTCATGTTCTTGGATGAGTACTGGGTAAAACACGCATGCTGGAATATAAAGAACTCCTGATGGAAATTAAATGGGTCTATACATGTGTACGTTTTTGAACTCTTTTGTTAGCCTTTTAAAAGAGAAGTTTAGTTGATTTTTATTTTTGTTTCTTTCTATAATCATACGTACCTAGTTGGATGAAGCATTGGTCCCCCACTGGCTCTAAGACTGAGAACTGAGTAATCAAAGACAACTGATCACTCATTTCTCAGTGCTCTTTGAGCAGTCCTCTCTCACTCTCTCTCTCTCTCTCTCTCTCTCTCTCTCTCTCTCTCTCTCTCTCTCTCTCTCTCTCTCTCTCTCTCTCTCTCTCTCTCTCTCTCTCTCTCTCTCTCTCTCCCCCGCCGCTCACTGGAACACTTGGCTGTGGAGGGGGAGGAAGTGGCTGGCTCAGGCTCTCAGCATATTGCTGAGAGGCTGATCCAGGTGCCAGTCCAGCCATCTGGGCGGATCCCGACTATAAAGTTGGGGATCTTTCCCCAGCCTGCACTGGCTGAGTGACGTCAGCCAAACATGGCTTTCTGCTTGTGTATAGTAAAGAGTAAAGTTAGGAATCTGCACATATACTGTATTTTAAAGTCTTTTAATATGATTCTTAATTTGGCCAGTAGAAGGTAGCAGAGCATCACAGAATACACAACATATCAAAGACATTCTGCAATGTATTTTTGAGTTATCATTTTGTTACATTGGGGTTGATTTACTAAAACTGGAGCTTTCAAAACTTGAACCAGCTCTGCATAGAAACCAATCAGCTCTCAGGTTTTTTTTTTTTTTTTTTTAATGTCAAAGCTTAATTGAACAAGCTGAAATTAGAAGGGATTAGCTACCATGCACAGCTGCACCAGAGTTTGCACTGTTCTGTTTTAGTAAATCAACCCCACAGTTGATAAGGTTGAATAAACACACCAGTTCATTCCAGTTCAAACTGTGTGTGTGACAACTGTTTTCCATGTCCCTGTTAGCACTTGCTAAGAAACATATCTAAGAACCTCTTACGAATTTTCAGATTAAACCATTTCTCTTCCAACTTCATTGTGTGGCCACATGTCTTCTGTAGACACCTAAGATTAAAAAATGTATTCCCAATGCTAGAGTCACCGTTCAAGGATTAGTATATCACTATCACATTCCCTCTTAAGCGTGAAACCAAAATGATGCAGCGCTACCCTAATAATAATAAAATAATACAATATGGCAAAAACAAAGTGACATAAATATATATATATGTGACAAAAAGCCAGTGGATTGATCCTCTCTGGGGATCTCAATATAAAGTGACATAAAATATATATACGTGCCAATAAATCAGTGGATTTATCCTCACTGGGATCTCAAGTGAAAAAGTGATCACACCTGGTATACAAAAACCAGGAACCAATACCCCCACTTTCCAAAATAGGATCACACACAAAATTAAAATAAAACACAAATAAGCGTGAATCCCTAAATAGGGATCAATAAATTCATGCAAATGAGGGTGAAAATGAGAACGTAAACCCCTAACAAGGAGCAACAATATCATGCAGATCGTGACAAATAATGGCTAAATTAAGCCAAAAAGTAAATAGTGACATAAAATGGAACCCTAAATGTGGGATCAATTAAATACAATAGTGCCAAAAAACATACATACAAAAAGTATATTTATAAGCAAACACATAAAAAAAAAAAATTGAACATATAATAGTCTGTAAAAAAAAAAAAAAAAAAGAAATGGAAAATGAAAAAATAAAAAAACTTAAAAACAACCAAGTCCAATTAGGTCCATATTGTATTATTTTATTATTAGGGTAGCGCTGCATCATTTTGGTTTAATTTTTACTTCCACATGGTATATGGTATATGGTGCTAGCAGCTCCCACTCACCTAATTTATCACGGAATTGTAGCACAGGAGATCTTCTTTATTTTTATTCCCTCTTAAGTGCTTTTCTCCAGGAAGAAAAAGTTTAACGTTTGTACTTGTTCCTCATAACTGAGCTCCTCTAACCCCTTTATTAGCTTTGTTACCCTTCTCTGGACTTTCTTCAGTTCAAACACATCCTTCCTGGGCATTGGTGACCACAACTGGACGGCATATTCGAGATACAGCCAAACCTGTGTATTCTAAAGTGGTAGAATTTTAGTTTTCTCTCTTGAGTAAATACCCTTTTAAATGTATGCAAATCCCTTACTTCCACATCAGCAATCAGTTCTGTGTTATTTGTAATTAGTAGGTCCAGTAGAGCTTTATCTTTGTTGGGGCTTTCACCATTTGACTCAGGAATTTGCAATGCAAACAGTAAATGATGTCCCTTAGTTGGGTGAGCAATTCTGTCTGCCCAATCAATATTATGGGTGATTTTAGCATTTTATCTAAACGCAGGATTGCTATTTTCACAATATATAACAATTAGTAACATTGGTAAGTGTACACATAAGCGGTCAGAAGCCTTTCGTAGTCTAAACGTTTTATTTGTGAATAGAATTGATAGATGTGCCATTATCATTTGAGTTGAAAAGTGCAGGCGGCTACACAATCACACATGCACTTTCATGCTAAGTTTGCCATTGTATCAGATGTTGAGTCAATTAAATACTAGACTTCTGCCTTGTTTGTAGCATTCTGCCTAATTTTCAACATACGGCCCTTTCTAAAGGGATGTCAAGAGTTGCATCTTATGTACCTATATATAATATAACAAAACTTTTTTCTTTCTTGTTTGTTGAGGGAGTTAGAAAATCTTAAATATTTAGGTTATACTGCTGCCTACAAAATGATTGGATGCTGCTAGTGTCCCAGGGGGTAGACATCTTCTCTTTCACTCTGCGGTTTTAAAGATTAATCTTTAATTTTTTTTTGGCCAATTTTTATGTTTATTTTTTCCTCTGTCAAGTCTCTTCCCTATGCCACTGCTGGAGGTTTTCAGTTTGATTTGCATTCATCAGTCTAGCTTTTTGGGCTATACTACAACTGGATCCTGCTGTACTGGACTTTGCGGGGCTAGCTGGGAAAGGAACCTCCGAGCATTGGGTTTTGTGTGGGGTGCTTTACAGACTCCGTTCTGGTTAAATTAGCTAATGAATGCTTTCCTGGTCTAGAGCTGCTACCATTGCGTTGGGCATTCTTTTTTTTTTTTTTTCTATCACTGGTCGTCATTATTCCCAGTTATCTGCTAGGTTTGATGGGGTTGATACTGCTGAAGACAGTCACTGGGTGGAGTCCCGCCCTTGCACTCTATAATCTTTCCCACCATACACTGTCAACGAAGCATCTTCTGTTGCTGCTTCTGTTGCAAGGAGGCACATTGGACTTTGATCTGATGTTTCTAGCCTACACTGACTGGTCACCTCCGACTATCTGACCCTCAACCTGCTACTAGCTGTCTGGGTTTTTTGAGTATGTGAGGCCAGACCCTGAGCCTGTACATTGCCTATCAACTCTGCACTCACATGTCTAACTCAAGTCTCAAGTCACAGGGAAGGCAGTCCTTTTATACTGGGTACCCCCAGCACAACTTCTAATGGTATGGGGACCGCTTGCAGCATGCTATCTTCTACTAATAGCCCCCCCCCAGAGTCCTCCTTAACACCATCAGGTGTGGAAGGGTCTTCTGCCCCTTCTGGTGAGGTTTTCACCACTGTCAGTTGTTTACTGACTCTGATCCATAAGGCAACAAGCATGCTCTCACACTATCTCCAGCAAATTTTGTGTCTAATTTACTCACAGCCATAGCAGCTTCTAAGCCATCAGTCACAGAGACTCAGATTCTACAAGATATCACCAGCACACACATTTAAATAAAGAAATGCCACAACGCTGCAGCGTGTCCCATCAATTTCTGCTCCAGCAACAAGCTGAGTAGGGGCAGCCCAGTTCATGCCGCACACAGTGTGAAACGAATATCAATGTCCCAAAAAGACAATTGGCAAAAATATTTAAGGGGCACCCCAGCACCTCCCGTTCAGAAAGGACTGGACCAAAATGTGCCTGATGGTACTTCAAACCAAACATGAGAATAAATCACCAGAAAAAAACATTCTATGATAAAAACAAAAAATTGAATGGGCACTTCTACCATGTCAATAGAATGTTGTCCAGGAATGCTTGTAACTTCTATGTTCAAGATTCATGAATCCTAAGAGTACACAAATAACACCTCCCAAGGTGCCCAAATCAGGACAGCAAGAGGCACTGTTCCCTATCAAAACAGGAATAACCTCAAGGTTCTGAAACCAACAGCATACCCAATTAAAACATAGCCACCTCAGGGGAATTGTAACCAATATCTGATTCACAGGGGAGAGCTCTGATCTGGGAGAGAAGTGCACCAGCCAACACAAGTCCAAAAAACACCCAAGGAAAACATTGCATTAACACCATAAGGATGCACAGTATTTTGTGCATTCAAGAGGGATCAGCAACCTGTTCCTGCCACCTTGATGTGGCATTTGGAAATGCGCAATAGACATACCTTTCAAGTCTTGCACATGATGTTGAGCCTCCATAAAATTAAAAACAATATGTTATTTAACTTTCTCCCTCAGGCTATCCTCATTGCCACGTATCAGCCCAGGTGGGTGTGTGCCAGACTGTCTTATTCTACTGTCCCAAGGACTGATTTGCCATTTTGCTTCTCGGCCTCTGGCATTAACAGCATGGCTGTAGAAGCCCAGGCTGTAAGGAACAGGGGCATTTCTGAGTATGTGTTCTCTATAATGCTCAAGGTTAGGAACACTTTTTTTTCCCTAGGTCTATCATTGGACATGGAAATCTTTACTTGGTGTGATTTTAGGGGCTTTCACCACAAGAGTTTTCTTCGTAGGATGAATTCTTTCCTTTCTGCATTTGCTCTAGATCAGCGTTTGGCACTTAGCTTCTTTTTAAAGGTCAAGTTTATGCTATTTCCTTCACATTTTGTTTCAGAGTTGGCCTCCTAACTCTTTTCATTAAGACCTTTGAGTAAAGGGTCTCCTACGTTTTTCCCCCGTCCATTTTTCTGTGATTCCTTGGAATCTGAATCTGGTTCTCTATGCTCTTCAGAGGCTGCCATTTGAACCCATCAGAGACATTCTCTCTTTCCATTCTTTGTTGCCTTCACCTCTGCAAGAAAAGGTAATCAATTTAGATTTTCACCTCAAAGATTCCCTTTTGTTCTTACATAGGAACATGGTGGTGATCAACCACAAGACCTTGCCTAAAGCTAGCCATACACCATGTGAATTTCGATCGGTTCCTGATGAACTGCCCATTCACTTGGGGACACAACTGACATATTTCATGCCGTACAGTCAAACCTGTTAAACCTCTGTCACTGTTGTTCTTTAGGAATGTGATCAAAATCATTATTTCACTTAGTATCCTGTGTTTTAAAACACAACCACACTGCTAGCAAGTTGTACAATTCCCTTACCAGCAAGGAGATAAATACTTAGTGAGGGGCGCACACTGGAAAAGAGCTTCGCCATTAAGCGCACCAAGAGGTGGGGTCAGCTCCATTCACAATAGTAAAATATCAGTTGGCGATGTTGGGCTGTGTAATCTATCTGCTGGCGCAATATATGTTTACTAGCAGCCAATAGATAGATCATACTGTCAGTAACACTTAATGATCATTTACTATTGACTTTTGAATGAATGAACAATCAGTGCTGAAGGGCTGTGTGATCTATTTGTTATCTATCACACAGCCCTGCTATCAGTGACTGTTCATTCACAAAAGTACACAGATCTTCTGCAGCTGCTACAAACATGCATTGCACTGGCAGATTTACGACACAGCTCCACAGAGCTGATTGATTACAATTGAATTATGAAAGAACAGTCAGCGCTGCTAGACTGTTCAGGTGGGAATCTTGGAGGGGGGGGGGGGGGGGGGGGGGTCGGGTTGGGGGGGGGGGGTTGACTACAAAGTTGGTAGATTCCTCCCCCATAGGAACACCCACAAACTAAGCTCGAGCCACAGCAGAAACAGGAGTAAAGATGTGCTTTTCATGTACAACTGCGCTACGAATCAGAACAGAGCCAAGTGCTATGTGCACTTGGTCCCCTAGGGTATTTAATGAAGATTTTAAAAATGAAGTAATATCTGTTATTTAACAAGCCTTATCAGTACTGTCTTATGTTGTTATATATATATATATATATATATATATATATATATATATATATATATATATAATAATATATAAAACACACACAGAAGTGAGTACACCCCACACATTTTTGTAAATATTTTATTATATCTTTCAATGTGACAGCACTGAAGAAATGACACTTTGATACAATGCAAAGTAGTGAATGTACAGCTTGTATACATGTAAATTTGCTGTCCCCCCCATCAAAAACTAACTCAACACACAGCCATTAATGTCTAAACCGCTGGCTCTGCTTCAGTATGTCACTGTACATGTTGACATTCATGGTTCCCTCAATGAACTGTAGCTCCCCAGTGCCGGCAGCACTCATTCAGCCCCAGACCATGACACTCTCACCACCGTGTTTGACTGTAGGTTAGACGCACTTGTCTTTGTACTCTTCACCTGGTTGCCGCCACACACGCTTGACACCATCTGAACCAAATAAGTTTATCTTGGTCTCATCAGACCACAGGACATGGTTCCAGTAATCCATGTCCTTAGTCTACTTGTCTTCAGCAAACTGTTTGTGGGCTTTCTCGTGCATCATCTTTAGAAGAGGCTTCCTTCTGGGACAACAGCCATGCAGACCAATTTGATGCAGTGCGTGGTGTATGGTCTGACAGGCTGACCCCAGACCCCTTCAACCTCTTCAGCAATGCTGGCAGCACTCATACGTCTATTTCCCAAAGACAACCTCTGGATATGACGCTGAGCACGTGCACTCAGACTCTTTGGTCGACCATGGCTAGGCTTGTTCTGAGTGGAGCCTGTCGCGGTAAACCACTGTATGGTCTTGGCCACTGTGCTGCAGTTTAGTTTCAGGGTCTTGGCAATCTTCTTCTAGCCTATGCCATCTTTATGTAGAGCAACAATTCTTTTCTTCAGATCCTAAGATAGTTCTTTGCCATGAGGTGCCATGTTGAACTTCCTGTGACCAGTATGAGAGAGTGAGGGCATCAAATCATCAAATTTTACACACCTGCTCCCCATTCACACCTGAGACCTTGTAACACTAACGACTAACATGACACGGGGAGGGAAAATGGCTAATTGGACCCAATTTGGACATTTTCACTTAGGGGTGTACTCACTTTTGTTGCCAGTGTTTTAGACATTAATGGCTGTGTGTTGAGTTATTTTGATGGGACAGCAAATTTTACACTGTTATACAAGCTGTACACTCACTACTTTACATTGTAACAAAGTGTCATTTCTTCAATGTTGTCACATGAAAAGATATAAAATATTTACAAAAATGTGAGGGGTGTACTCACTTCTGCGAGAATGTGTGTGTGTGTGTAGTTTCAGCAGTATGTTTTCTTATACAGAATACAAATTCTGGAGGTGACCGAGATCATTACAAAGAGTGGACCTATGAAGAATTCTTCAGTGAAGATGGAATTGTCCTGGATTCCTTGGTGGTTTTGCCAGTTGCTTATGATTTAGCTACAGCTTTTGTTCCAAGCTCAGCTGGTAATGTTTTGTCATTTTTGTTTAAAGTCTACTAAGCTAAGATACTTGAGTCCTTATTCCTTTAAAATATACTAAACATAAATGTATTACTGTAATGTTTACTCTTGTGACTATTTTAATTCACTGTACTAATTTGGGATCTAGTTTAGTATTATGTAACTGCTTAATCCCTCAAATTTTTCTGTTTTAAAGGTAAAAAGATGTATCCTTTGGATTGTGCAAATCTGGCTACCTGTTCATGCACTAAAGGTATTGTGTGGAAAACACATTTTAAATGCAATGTATTATATAAAGTTATTTTAAATTTGCTTTGAACTTGTGGTGCTACCTGTTTTGAACACGCATTGGGGTTGATTTACTAAAACTGGAGATCTCAGAATCTGGTGCAGCTGTGCATGGTAGCAAATCCCCTTCTAACTTCAACTTGTTCAGTTAAGTTTTGACAGTAAAACCTGGAAGCTCATTGGTTTCTATGCAGAGCTGCAGCAGATTTTGCACTCATCAGTTTTAGTAAATCTGCCCTATTGTTTTTCTCAGTAGGTGCATATCATGCTTACTAGATCAGCTGTTCCATTTAAATCTCAGTACACATGCGTAATTAAAGTTCATTTGAAGCCTTTTTCCTCTGTCCTTTTATAGTTCTGGGCTCCTGCATGTTATATGTGACTGGCTTTTGCTAAGAAACTCCTTAAAATACTCCTTTCTGTTTTTGAAAATATTGCTTTATGTCTTCCTGTTGCAATGCTCTGTGTTTTCATATATAGATGCTACCTTTCAGTACAAGTGGCTGCATCACAGCAGCACATTGCAGGGGAAGAGAGAGAAGTGTCTGCAATGTGACTTGGTGGCAGCTTGGATCTGTTTAAACTGTGGCGTCCGTCATGCTTCACGGTGCAGCAATTTTAACTCCCAATGCCGAATCTCTCAAGCAGTGCCACTTGCTAAATTCACCCAATAATATTAATGGACATGCACTGCGAGTGCATGCCAAATGCTTCCCACGTGGTTGTGGTACAGTATTTTGTGAAAGAGGCCTTAGAAAAGCCTTCTGTGTGTTTACATTAGAGGGCTGGCAGGCTACCAAGATTCTGATGCAGTAGGAAGTAATAAGAAAAAAAGTGCTTTTGCTGCTTTCTCTGATTATGTAAAGACTTGTCTTGCCACAGATTCTCTTTAAATAGCCATTTACATTTAAATTTCAACTTCCAGGGAGATAAGGGCCCTGTCACACAGGTGTTCAGTTTAGATTCGTTTGTCAGTTTTTCAGATGGATCCAAACTGAACCATATTGTATGCCTATAGATGGGTGGATGTAAATGGATGATCCTCTGTCTACATGTGTGTCCACTCAGGTGTTTTTTTTGTTTTGTTTTTTACAAAATGAAACAAGGTTGTGTCCTCTTTCCGTTTTAACAGATCTGATTTGATGTAAACAGGTGCCGTCCATTTACATCCATTCCATTTGTCTGTTTTGGGCAAGCAACTTTCATATATACACCGCGTTCCAAATTATTATGCAAATTCTATTTAAGTATCACAAAGATGAAATATTTTGTTTTTCAGTTTAACTCATGGATGGCATTGTGTGTCAGGGCTCTTTTGATCACTGAAAACAATCTCGCACACCTATGATAATTAGATTGGCAGGTGAGCCCAATTTAAGGAAAAACTACTAAAGGAGGACGTTCCACATTATTAAGCAGAGCACCATTTTCAAGCAATATGGGGAAGAAAAAGGATCTCTCTGCTGCTGAAAAGAGTGAAATAGTTCAATGCCTTGGACGAGGTATGAAAACATTAGATATTTCACGAAAACGTAAGCGTGATCATCGCACTATTAAGAGATTTGTGGCTGATTCAGAGCACAGATGGGTTCGTGCAGATAAAGGCACATTGAGGAAGATTTCTGCCAGATCCATGCATCGGATCAAGAAAGCAGCTGCTAAAATGCCATTACATAGCAGCAAACAGATATTTGAAGCTGCTGGTGCCTCTGGAGTCCCACGGACATCAAGGTGTAGAGTCCTCCAGAGTCTTGCAACTGTGCATAAACCTTCTATTCGGCCACCACTAACCAATGCTCACAAGCAGAAATGGCTGCATTGGGCAGAAAAATACATGAAGACTAATTTCAAACAGTCCTGTTCACTGATGAGTGCTGTGCAACCCTGGATGGTCCAGATGGATGGAGTAGTGGATGGCTGGTGGACAGCCACCCTGTTCCAACAAGGCTGCGATGTCAGCAAGGCGGTGGTGGAGTCATGTTTTTGGTCTGGAAGCATGGGAACAGAGGTGGTCGGCCCCTTTAGGGTCCCCGAAGGTGTAAAGATGACCTCTGAAAAGTATGCGGAGTTTTTGACTGACTACTTTCTTCCCTGGTACAGAAGGAAGAACTATGCTTTCCGTAATAAAATCATCTTCATGTATGACAATGCACCATCTCATGCTGCAAAGAATACCTCTGCATCAATGGCTACTATGGGGATAAAAGGAGAGAAAGTCATGGTGTGGACTCCATCCTCCCCTGACCTCAATCTTATTGAGAACCTTTGGAGCATCTTCAAGCAAAAGATCTATGATGGTGGGAGGCAGTTTACATCCAAACAGCAGCTCTGGGAGGCTATTCTGACATCTTGCCAACAAATTCAAGGAGAAACTGTCCAAAAACTCACAAGTTCAATGGATGCAAGACTTGTGAAGCTGCTAACAAATAAGGGGGTCCTATGTTAAAAAATGTAACGTGACCTCTTAAAATGTTTAAAAAGTTAAAATGTTGTTAAGTTTAATTGAAATAGCTTTTGATTTCAGTAAATATGCTGAAAACACAACAAATGACAATTTTCAGTTCTTTACAACCTATAAAGTGTTTTGAAACTTACTGTGCGTAATAATTTGGAACAGTGCATTGTAAGTTTTTAATGTTTAAAAAAAATACTGTTCTCATTAGGAGGTTTGTTCAATAAAATGTGAATTGTACTCTTAATAGTTGATAACATGAGAATTATGCTGACTGTTATTTACATCAATTATTTAGGTAAATGAGAAAAATATCATTTGCATAATAATTTGGAACGCTCTGTGTGTGTATGTATGTGTGTGTGTGTATATATATATATATATATATATATATATATATATATATATATATATATATATATATATATATATATTATACAGTCAGGTCCATAAATATTGGGACATCGACACAATTGTAACATTTTTGGCTCTATACATCACCACAATGGTTTTGAAATGAAACGAACAGGATGTGCTTTAACTGCAGTCTGTCAGCTTTAATTTGAGGGTATTTACATCCAAATCAGGTGAACGGTGTAGGACTTACAACAGTTTGCATATGTGCCTCCCACTTGTTAAGGGACCAAAAGTAATGGGACAAAATAATAATCATAAATCAAACTTTCACTTTTTAATACTTGGTTGAAAATCCTTTGCAGTCAATTACAGCCTGAAGTCTGGAACGCATAGACATCACCAGACGCTGGGTTTCATCCCTGGTGATACTCTGCCAGGCCTCTACTGCAACTGTCTTCAGTTCCTGCTTGTACTTGGCACTTTTTCCCTTCAGTTTTGTCTTCAGCAAGTGAAATGCATGCTCAATCGGATTCAGGTCAGGTGATGGACTTGGCCATTGCAGAACATTCCACTTCTTTGGTTGCTTTTTTGCAGTCTGCTTTGGGTCATTGTCCATCTGCACTGTGAAGAGGCCAATGAGTTGTGAAGCATTTGGCTGAATATGAGCAGATAATATTCCCAAAACACTTCAGAATTCCTCCTGCTGCTTTTGTCAGCAGTCACATCATCAATAAATACAAGAGAAGCAGTTCCATTGGCAGCCATACATGCCCACGCCATGACACTACCACCACCATGCTTCACTGATGAGGTGGTATGCTTAGGATCATGAGCAGTTCCTTTCCTTCTCCATACTCTTCTCTTCCCATCACTCTAGTACAAGTTGATCTTGGTCTCATCTGTCCATAGGATGTTGTTCCAGAACTGTGAAGGCTTTTTTAGATGTCGTTTGGCAAACTCTAATCTGGCCTTCCTGTTTTTGAGGCTCACCAATGGTTTCCATCTTGTGGTGAACCCTCTGTATTCACTCTGGTGAAGTCTTCTCTTGATTGTTGACTTTGACACACATACACCTACCTCCTGGAGAGTGTTCTTGATCTGGCCAACTGTTGTGAAGGGTGTTTTCTTCACCAGGGAAAGAATTCTTTGGTCATCCACCACAGTTGTTTTCTGTGGTCTTCCGGGTCTTTTGGTGTTGCTGAGCTCACCGGTGCGTTCCTTCTTTTTAAGAATGTTCCAAACAGTTGTTTTGGCCACGCCTAATGTTTTTGCTATCTCTCTGATGGGTTTGTTTTGTTTTTTCAGCCTAATGATGGCTTGCTTCACTGATAGTGACAGCTCTTTGGATCTCATCTTGAGAGTTGACAGCAACAGATTCCAAATGCAAATAGCACACTTGAAATGAACTCTGGACCTTTTATCTGCTCATTGTAATTGGGATAATGAGGGAATAACACACACCTGGCCATGGAACAGCTGAGAAGCCAATTGTCCTGTTACTTTTGGTCCCTTAACAAGTGGGAGGCACATATGCAAACTGTTGTCATTCCTACACCGTTCACCTGATTTGGATGTAAATACCCTCAAATTAAAGTTGACAGTCTGCTGTTAAAGCACATCTTGTTCGTTTCATTTCAAATCCATTGTGGTGGTGTATAGAGCCAAAAATGTTAGAATTGTGTCGATGTCCCAATATCTATGGACCTGACTGTGTGTGTGTATACACACACACACACACACACACACACACACACACACACACACACACACACACACACACACACGTCCATATATGTTTGGACAC